CTGTTGCTTGGTTCTGTGTATCCGAGGGAGAGAGCGCAAAACTGGATTCCAAGCTGACCCGCTGGAGGAGGACTGTTCCATCCTTTACCCAGGGACTGTCTTGCGGGCTGGAAGAGGAAAACAAGACCCAAAACCAAGAAGCTGAGCTCGCCTGCTTTCCCACTACCGGCTTCCAGCCCAGAGGAGGCTAGAATTATAAATTAAATTCAGTGTTTTGATTAAAATCCAATTTCTGAATTGAGATGGTGTTTGTAACTTAAAATGGCCATAGTTCCGTCTAGTAACTAAGCCAAGAGAAAAAGTCTCAGATTGAATCTCCTCCTGCTATAAAATAGCAAACCAGGATCATTGAATGACATACCACAAGGTTAACAATTGAAAGCTTTCATGGTGGGGGCAGGGGCGCCAAAGTCAGGCATAGATTTGAAACCTTCTGGGTGATTCTGAAGGTATTTGCATTAGCAGAAGACATTGTGTTTTAAATGGATGGAGACACTTCCTAGATCAGAACCCTACTAACCTGAGACAACTGGAATGGCTGGGGTGATTATCTAGGTGAGGGTTGGAAATGCACTGTGGTGGCTTTACTGAGAGCTGTCCTGTTGAAAAGTTCAGTCCTCGCAGAGCCTATTTTGAAACAGCTAGACGTGCACAGCCCCTCAGGAAGTTGAAAATTCTAGCCTCAAATGGGGTTCTGGGAATATAATATGGATGTGTTCATTTTATTGCTTACCTGGATTCTCCCACACAGCCAGGGAGAATAATTATGCATGCTGGTGGCTTTAGAATTAGATCATGAATTCTAGCTCTGAGCAGTTGTTTAACTGAGGTCAGTAATTTCTGTGACTCAAGTGTCCTGACAGACTACACGTAATGTCCAGAGATTGCTTCCTTTGCTGTCAGACTCAGAAGGACAATATGAATGAAAAAATGTTCATTCGTACTGAGTGACATAGTACGGAGAGAAAATCCGACAGTGACATAAGAGCGAGGTTTCCAGAAGGCTTTAAGCATCCCAGTTTTGTGTCTTCAGATTGGTGACATACCTAGTCTCAGGTATTCTCATGTGTTACTAACATAAGACATTTGACCTACACACGAAGAAGGACATCTGTGCAAAAGACGATCTGTATTGATTAACTATCGCCACAGATCCTTCTGCTACATCCACCTAGGTTTAAACTAAGCTCTTTTGAAAATTCCTCTATTAATCATCCAGAATATTCATTAATTACAGCCCGTGGCTTTCACGTGGTTACTTCGGAAACCAACTGTGGCCGAAACTGGCTGGCTGTTTATCAAAACTATCTCTTTTTTTTCTTTCCTGGCCTAGACTGATTCCATTTCATGGCCTGCCTCATACTTAGGTGGCTATGGAGGAGAGTTCTGGCCAATGGAATGTGAGTGGAAGTGAGGTGTCGAAAACCTTCCTTGAATGACCTCCATGCTTTCCCTCCTGCCTGATGATTACACATTGAACACCCTGGAGCTCTGACATGGAAGAAACATGGATCCTAAGTATTTGTTGGCTTGTCTGTTTTTTAAAGATTTTATTTATGTGGGGCACCTGGGTGGCTCAGTGGGTTAAGCCTCTGCCTTCGGTTGAGGTCATGATCTCAGGGTCCTGGGATCGAGCCCCACATGGGGCTTTCTGCTCAGCGGGGAGCCTGCTTCCCCACCTCTCTCTGCCTGCCTCTCTGCCTACTTGTGATCGCTCTCTCTCTGTCAAATACATAAATAAAATCTTAAAAAAAAAGATTTTATTTATGTATTTGATGGGGAGGGAGTACACACAAGCAGGGGGAATAGCAGGCAGAGGGAGAAGCAGACTCTCCATCAAGCAAGGAGCTTGATGCAGGACTTAATCCGAGGACCCCAGGATCATGACTTGAGCTGAAGGCAGACACCCAACTGACTGAGCCACCCAGGCTTCTCAGACCCTAAGCATTTGTAAGAATAAATGTTTAGAGGCAACTTGCCTGCATTCAGGACTTTACATGGGTGACAAATACACCTCTGTTGTTGTGTGCCAGGATAGATTTTTGTGTTTATTTATTGTAGCAGCTACTGTTATAATAATGAATATATTCACATTTAGGATAAAGGAATTTTAGCTTGCTATGCACTCACTACGTTTTAGACTCTAAGATTTCATCGCTTTATTTCTCATAATAAACTGTTGAAGTAGTTGTAACTGTCAGTTCACAAAGGAGGGAATTAAGGCTAAGAAATGTTAAGCAACTGGTCTGACATAAATCCTGCTGATAGAGGATTTGAACTCAGGTCTGTAAGCCTCGCAAGTACATTCATGATCTTGCCAATAAGCCACCCCAAGAGGATAGCAGTGTATAAACCATACATAGGGTACAGATTTATTTTTTCATTTATTCATTCATTCATTCAGTCAGTCAACAAACACTCTGTGTGTACTTTGTGCCACGTCCTATCCTAGGCATTCAGGACAAGATACCCTTTTTATTAAGGCAGAGAAGTGGCATTGTTTAAACCTACCTTCCAGTTTAAGTAGCTCCCCCTAAATGGGAAAAGTACTAAGAAATAGCTCTCAGTATCTAATTTAGTCATTGGTAGTCAAGAAGAGTAAAGGCTTTTCTTAAGATGCATAAATTACTACAACTGAGAGATGTCAGCCAAGAATATCTGGCTTAAGAAAGAATGAGGGCTTTCTCCCTGAAATTTGGGAGGGACATTCTCCTGGATAAACGTACTCTGCTCCCTGTGTGATTTTGAGGTATTGACAAGGAAGAGGAGGAGAAAGCTAACATATGCTCTGTGTGGAGTACCAGCATGCCTAAAGGGCAGATTCTGCCAAACCTATGATGGCACAGTCTAAGGGAAAGAACAATGCTATTTAAATAAATAATAGTTCTATAATAAATAATAATTCTATAACAAGAGCTGACATGATTTTATTCTAGAAATTTGTAAACGACTAGAGAAAATTAGAGTAGAAATAAAAGTTTATAATTTTTCAAATACACGAAGCCCAGAATATATAATCCACCGTAGTTTACACAATACTTAATTGTACGCTTTAATCTGGCAAAGATATAATACAATATGGTGAGACTCGGAGAAATATGGCAGGGCATTATGCTTATGGGACAAATTTGGTTCTTGCAGATATGTTGATGTTAAAATCGGAAACACATGAAAATTAAAATTGATAAGAGGTATTAGTAATTCAGAATGCCACAACTCTCAGAGTTAAATATTTACAAGAGCTTTGGAGACACTCTTTTTTGCCCTGGTGTCATAGGAACTATTTTCTTAAAAATAAGAAGTGGGTTAGGTTACTATAAAATTAATATGTGACCCATTACTTTGTTTCACAGCAAGAAATCTGTAAGCGAGTCATTTTGCCAATAGGGACTGTTAGAGGTCTGATAATTATGGGAATAAACTGTGTACATTTTATACTCCGATAAACTATGTAAGGATACAGTCTATATGTTTATTAATCAGGTCTTGATGTGTTGGGAACTATGGGGAAAGGAGAAAAGCAGCAATTGAGGACTTTTCCCCCTGTGGTGGCTTGTGTATCTTAAAAAAGCAAATTTTGTTCTAGAATCGTCCCTACAAGTGGGGGGAAATTAACTCTTTTCCCCCCTTTTTTCTTCTTTGGTGTCATACTGTTGTCCCACACAGTAGAAGACAATCAGTACTGACACAGTGTTGTCAGGACGTGGAAAAGCAGAAAAGGAAGTGCATGTTAGCAGGAATTCTCCAGAAAGAAGCCGGGAGCATGATAGAGAATCTTGCAGTGGGAGAAATACCACGTACCTCAACAAGGCTAGAGCCACGTGGTGAAACAATACGGGGTTTTCAAAGTGTTCCAGAAACGACAAAACATGGTGTCAGAAAAAATAAACTTCTTTTATAACTTTACGGACTATGCTGCATCCGAGAGTATGGCCATTTTGCACAAGTAGTGTCTCCATTGCAAATAGTCTCAGGAGCCATGAACTTCAAAAGAAAGAAATGGTTATCTTCTGTGGTGTGAATGCAATACATCATGGCTTCCCTAAAGTCAACGAAAACTAATATCCCTAAAAAAGGGTGTCATTTTAAGAGTGAATTCCGATGCCCGGGCAACCCATCCGCCCTGAGCTGTGGCGACCGCGGCCGGGGCGCGCTGGGGAGGCTCTTGCGAGAGGTGCGCTCGGGCCGCGCGGTCAGGTCTCCCGGGACGCTCGGGGAGGGCTTCGCGCTCGGGATCCAGCCCCGGGGCGCGGAGGGTGGGGTCCGCTCGCGGCCCGCTCGCGGCCCGCTCCCGGCCCTCGGGCTCAGCTCCCCCCGGGGGCGCCGCCCACCGCCTCGGGGCGGTGGCGACGGCGGCGGGCGGCGGGCCTCGGGGGCCACGAGGGCGCGGGGAGAGCCAGAACTTCCCGCCCAGGAGCGCCTGCCCCCGCCGCCCGCTCCGGCGGGCTGGGGGGATGTTCTCGCGAGAGGAGAGGGGGCGCGGGGCGCCGCGGGTTTGGGGGGCGCGGGGAAGCCTGCGGACGAGGGCGCGGCAGGGAGGGGAGCAGAGGCGGCGGGCAGGGCCGGGGACGCGGGGAAGCCGCTCCCGCCAGTCGCCGAGAGCCAGCCCCTGACGTCAGGAGTTTTCCTCAAAGTCAACAACAAGCCCCGCGGCGGCGGCGGCGGCGGCGGCGAGAAACGATCGGCGGCGGCGGCGGCCCGGGAGGGAGGAAGGAGGGGCCGGGGAGGCGGCGGCAGGGTACCCCCACCCCCGCGGCGAGGCGCGGCCCCCCACCCCCAGAGGAGGCCGCAGACCCCCGACCCGCGCCGGGCGCGCCCCGGAGCCTCCGCCCGCCGCCGCCTCGCCGGCGTGACCCGGCCCCCGCCCGAGCGGTGTTTTCTGGTGATGAATTGAATTTGTAGCCGATATCCGATTCCCATGTAGAGTCTCCGCCTCCTCCTCCCCCCGCCGCCGCCCTCCCTCCGCCCTCCCCTCCCGCCGCCGCCGCCGCCGCCGCCGCCGCCGCCTCCCGCTCCAGCTCCGCGGCCCGGCCCGGCCGGCTCCCTCCTCCCTCCCCTGCAGCCTTCGCCTGCCCTCCCGCCGGCCTCACCGGGCTCCAGGGGGGCCAGAGGCTCTGCGGGGTGGGGGGAGGACAGGAGGGGAGGAGGAGGAAGGGGGGACCCCCGAGTCGCCCCCTCTCCTCCCCCCGCCCCCCCGGCTCCATCCTCCGCCGCCGCCGGAGCAGCTGCGGGGCCGCCGCCGCCGCCTTTGCAGGTAACAGCCACCGCCCCCCCGCTCGCCCCCTCCCCGCCTGGCCTCCGGGCCCACGGCCCCGGGCCTCCCTCGGGCAGGGGGGGAGAGGCGGCGGCGGGGTTGGGGGGGGAGGCGGGGGCGTCTGGGTTGTCACCGCGCCGGGGGCGTGGGCGGGGGCCGGGTCACCGGAGGCTCGGGTGTGGGTGTAGGTGGGGAGGCCGGGGGATGCCCGGCGCCGCTGACACCGGCACCCCCTCACTTTCCGGGGGAAGCTGGGGGGGCGGCGGCGCGCGGGGGGCCGGGGAGGGTGTTCCCGGCCTAGCGGTACCGGCCGCGTCTGCGCTGCCCCGGCCCTGGCGCTTCCAGTCCCTGCGCAGCTCCGGCTCCCCGCCGGCCCGGGCCGCGCGGCGTGGGGAGGGGGCGCCGGCCGGGCGGGGGCGGCGGCGGGCTTATATAACGCGGGGAGCGCGGGTGCCGGCGTGTTTGGGTTGGGGGGAGGGGGCCGTCTGCCGCGCTCCCCGGCGCGGGGGCTGTCTGCGCGCGCGGGGTGGGGTGCAGGCGGGGATGCACCGGCGTCCCCCGGGGTCTCCTTCCTCCCCACCCTCCCCGGCAGCCGGCGCGCAGGAAAAGACTGCCCTGGAGAGAGGGGGGGTGGGGTGGGTGCGGGGGTGTGTGTGGGAGGTGGGTAACGTGCTCGTCTGTGTTTTTAATAGTAGTGGGGTTTTAATCCGCTTGGGAGTTGTGTGCTAAGAATAGAAATGTGCGGAAGATGCTGGGTTTGGCGGATCCAGTGATGCTGTAGCTGCTGGCGGTGGCGGCGGCTCCGGCTGCAAGTAAACAAACCAGCCTCTTCCTCGTTCACCTCCTCCTCCTGCGCATCGGGTCTGCATCAGCCATGATGCTGGCTGGGCCCTCAGAGCCCAAAGTTGAAGCCTGGCCGGTCGCCGGGTTCACCCTGACTCCCAGGCGGGGTCACTCCTTGTTTGGGATTACCCCGGGGATCTTCACTTAGGCTGGATTCAGTCTCTTTGGGGCCAGGTCTTCAGTACCGATATTGACTGTTTATCTTAAATCAGAGGAAAGGCTTTCCCAGAAGCCAAGGGTAGGATGCTCCCTTTTTTTTTTTTTTTTTTTTTTTTTTTTTTGCATCAGGAGAACCTTATGAAAATAAAACCAACTCATTTCACCAGTGTGGTAATTGGTCGAGAGCCCAGTAGTTTGTAATGGATTACATTTTCAAAGATAAGTTCACAGCGGAACCTGTGTATCTGTATTAAGTAGTACTATTAAGAAAATGTTCATACTTTTTTAGTTCATCCTGTAGCTAAAACATGTGACATGATGACTTTTTTTGCAGTTTAATACCTTGCCAAGTGCTTGAAATCGTCAAGTTGGATATATGTTCCATATTTGGGAAGGCATGGTCATTTTATATCTTTTATAAAGATGTAAATTACTGTAAATTGTAAATTACTACTCCCCCCCCCCCTTTGGGTTTTGGTGGAAACTCATTAAATTAGGTTATACATTGTTAGGAAATAGTTGAAAAAGCCAAAGCTAGAAGAATCCAGTAAACCTGGCTTAGGAAAGTTTGCTTTCAGAAGTTAAATATCATTGCAAAATACGTATAAATGAATATGAATATCCCAGGCGGTGGGCGTCCAAAACCAACACACATTCAGGAAGTGGTTGTCTAAGACAGGAATGCATTTCTTTATTAAGAAATCTAATTCTTGGTAAATTATTTGATTTCTGAGATGAATGTGCAATACTTTGGAAGATGCATATCAGGAGTGTTGTATTTTGTTTTTGTTTTTCTTTTGGCAACACATAATCTTGACTTGGAAAGTTTACCACATAGACTGTATTTGAAGATCTGCTTTTTGTTGGTCTCACTAAGGTTGACCCCAATATCTTTGGTTGGCTTGTGCTTCTAATTTTTAAGTGAGGGAGTGCATATATCATGAATGAGACACCATTAGAATTTAGATGAGTGTAGAACTATAGTTTTCAGTTGCTATGTTTTGTTTGTGGTAGGTGTTTGCAGTAGTAGGTTTTCCAATAGCATTTAAAAAATACCTAAAGTAATTCTACAAAAAAACTTAGGAAACTACTACTTATATCCATTTTGTCCCCTATGCTTAGTCTTTCTGTAAGAATTACCTTAGTGAGCTGTTATCCAACTGAAAATTCGTTTTTAGTTTGACATTGACTCTTAGTTTAAGTTGTGTATGTGAAGGTGCTCAAGGGTTCAGCTTTAGAGTTTTTGGTTTATGTAGTTTTATAGCTGTAAAATATTTTAAATGAGATTTCATTCATTCTTCCAACAAATATTTGAGTGTGAACTGTGTGCCAGAGCTAGTTTGATTAAAAACTTTCCTTATTTACATATCATTCAGAAGATTACTACCATTAGAAAGAGAATTTGTTTTCAGAATCATTGCAAATCTAAACATGTTCTGGTTAAACATACCCTAGGACAAATGCACTTGGCATAATAGAATCTCGTGTAAAGTAGAGGTTTAAGATTTTTTTAAACTCTGGCTTTTGATTTAAACATACAAGAGATTTTATTTCTTAAAAATTCAATGGAAATTTCCAACTTTTTGGTTTTCTTTAAAAAGAGGAACCTGTTTGATAAATTGATTTTGTGGAAGTTTAGAGTTTACCTGAACTTTGCATATTTTTGTGAAAAGATAGCTACACTTTGTTGTAAAACTTTTTTAGTTCAAGAATTCACCCTTGAGAAGATAAGGCAGTTATTGTTAACTCATGTTAATTGGGTTTTTTGCATGATTTGATAGGATTTTGCCTTTATAATGTGATTAAGTTTTAAGCATTAAAAAATGCTTAATTTGCAATAATTTATATTTGAATACCATAAGATTCAAGACAGAAAAATAAACCATTTCATTTGTTTTGATCGAATCAGTCGTATAATTTGACTGGCATTTTTGTTTTTCTTAACATACATTTTAATGCACACAATGAAGTTTTGTAAGTTTGTGTTAGAATATTTAAATCATTTGAAGTTGCTCTGTTTTTAGCTCCAGGTTTCAGGAGTGTGCCTTGGTATTCTGAGTACTCGTTTTATACACCACACACTCTTCTGTAGTCACCTGGAAGGATAGCCCTGAATCATATGATGTTAACTAAAAATTTTACTGTGGTCTTTCGGCAGCGTGAGGTCAGGTTTAGGGTCAATACCAGCCAGTGCCTGGTGAGCACTTGCCAAGTACCAGGTGCTGTTCTAGGTGCTTAATGTGTGTCCGTTGGTTTAATCTTCACAACAGCCCCTGCTACTTTATGAAAGTGGTTTTCACAAGAGAAAACACTTATTAATGCGGCATTATAAAAAGCCATTTCCGTTTTGACTGTCCTCATTCCGAAACACTTTTTTTCCTTAGCATTTCGCCTAAGTTGCTTATACCTCTCATTAGACTTCCCAGTGACATATTCAGTTTCAGTAATGTAGTACAATGATTTCCATAGAAATCTCAGTAATAGAGTAAAAAAAAAGTATTATCGACAGACCCTTAACAGTCTTTTTCATTTCATTTGTTTCAGAGACCAAGTTCAGTGCCTCAATTGTTTACATATGTTATTGCAGTGCCCTAGTCTTTTGGTATTTAGATGTAAATAGGTTTCCTTTGCCAGGTAACCTTCACGTAGTAGTTGATAGATAAATTAATACATGTTTCTTGACCCATAGATTTGCTTTTCAGTAGTCTTTTCAGTACTTTCTTTATATTTAGCTATCACCAACTGCCAAGATTTCACATTTTGTAAATGGGTTTATTTTGGTAATATTCAAGGGGAGAAGTAAAATGATTGACCAGAAGAAATCTATAGAAGACTCTTAAGGCTCTGACTCTGTTCGGAACTCTAGGGGATGGGAAGGGGAGGAAGATGGTATTTTGCCAGAACTGGAGTTCAGTTCGAATTTTGTCTAAGTAAGATTGATGTTTTGATATTTTATCTTCCCGACTATGTATTCAACTTTTGAGAACAGAAACTGTGTATAATCATGATGGTGTCACCAGAGATGCCATCTATAAGCGAAGTAGATGCTTGGTGGATTTGAACTTGAAGAATCATAAATACCAACTCTGGAAGAGCTGTGAAGCTATTTGTCTAATGCTACACTCTTATTTTTATGGCTAAGAAAAGTGAAGCACAGAGAAATTAAAGGACTTGATGTGGCGTCACTCAGGGTGGGGCGGAGTTGGGAACAGGGACCCCAGTTTCTGGGCCTGCCCAGTGCTCTCCTTGATGCACCATTGTGATGAACTTTGTTAAAGGATTCCATACCTGTGGGTTAACTCTCAGTTTAATCAGGGGTAAAATCCGTCATGCTGATTCTTGACATTTAATGGACCATATACCAACTGTATTTTGTGTATATATGTGGGTTTTTTTTTTTTTTCATTTTATTGTCAATGAGGTCCCCAAGGCAGATTTTAGAAGGATTTTATATGTGTTTTGGAAAAGTATGGCTTCTGTGCAACCGAAATTCTTTCAGGGGCAACCCTCAACCTTCTTCTGTTGTATTACAGGTGCCTTCACATAGAGACAAGCCACACTTAATATGAGAAAGGTAGGAGATCATTTGTCTATGGCTTGTTCAGTGGTTTAGGTGAACCAGAGGAATCCAATAGGCATTTTCCTAGTTGCTTCAAGTTAGAATATTAAATACAGCACCCAGCACAAGTTTTTTTTTGTTTGTTTTTCGTTTGGTTACTCATGGATGTGTTGGTTCAAACGGCATTCAAATGCCCTAAACCGAGGTAGAGAAGAGGAGAAATACTCTCCACTTTTGTCTGAATATTTAAAAATTTGCGAATTGAAAGAACTGAAATTTTGCGTGAAAGTTGGAAATCTTGCTTATGCCAATTCAAGTATTTTCCTGTAGGATGAAACGGTGAAGATATCTATTAGTTTTAAGAAAATCCATAAAGTCTGTTACTGCATTCTGAAGAAAGTTTTGTGGCTTGCTTTCCCCATATGACAGGTTTATGAACAGGATAGCAACTTGTGAGAGGGACAGATAGCCTGAGAGTTATTTGAAGTGCAGAGCAAGTTGTCTTGAATTTCCCTTTATTTCAGTATTTTTCCTTTCCCTTGAATCCTTTAAAGAGTTTTATATGACTTTAGGCATTTATTATGGCATAAGTTAGTTTCACCTACTTCTTGAAATCTGTAGATAGGGTAGAATTGTAGTATGGTTACCCTTGACAATCATTTGTATTTCAAAGCAGCAAAATTCTCTTGTCTTTGTACCTTAGTAGACCTTCATTAATTCAGTTTGGCTAGGCATAGCTGAAGGATATAAAAAGTCGTGGTGCAGGGCAAGTATATTCTTCATAGTATTATTTACAGCCAAGGATATGGTTTAGAGGAAGTTGTATTATGGATAGTATTGTGGCTTTGAACTTAGAAATTAACATGTAGGAAATTGCTAACCCGTGAATCTTGTTCTAATTTGTAAAAAAGAAAATTGCTGGCATGCCTTTTAACTTTGTCAACCTTCTGGTCTTCTGTTGGTGTCATTTCCTTTGTGATGCTGCAGTCATATTTGATTTTTAATTTATTTGAAAACATTGTGTTTATTGGACTTTTGAAAAATAACTCAAAGAGAAAAAATATTCACAGCGATATTCACAAATGTTACACATACTTCTGAGAATTCCTATTGGGTTATTTGGTAGAAAGCATACCTAACTGATAGAAGACTTGAATTGCAGGCGGTCACACTTGTTACTTGTCACTATCTGGTTATGGTAACGGCGAGGAAATAATGTCATATTTGGTTGGTCACGGTTTGCCTAGGTTCAGAATTGTAGATGCTGTAGCTACTGGACAGATTTCTTTCTAGAGTCAAATTCACAAATATGTGAAAGCACTTTGATAACAAATTATTACTTGGAAGAGATATTTTTCAAACCTTTGTTTTGCTCGCCTCCGTGTATACTCAGTGTGGTACTTGTCACAGAGTAGGCAGTTAATACCTGTTTACTGATTACATGTAAATGTTACTTGAGTGAATGAGATTTTGGAAAGACATTTGAAGAACTTTGATTATTGCTTAAAACTGAATGGTTTTTGCCTTAAGGAAGCAAATATCTTTTTAAAATTGTTATGAAGGTCATTAAGAAGATACACCATTCTTTCTCTTTCTTTCTTCCACAAAGATAATTTTGGGAGTTGAAACTTGGCCTCCTCTCAACAAAAAGTATCAAAAAACATGGAGAAAAGGAGCATAATTTTAATGTGTGCCAGTCCTCACAATTAGTGGAGGTCTGCAGTAAACATACTTTAAGGGATAAGGAAGGATATTTATTGTAATTTAAATTACTTCTGTGTAGATGCTTTTATAACATTTGAGTTCAGGTTTGTATTTAAGGTGACATGATACTGCTCTCTGTGTTTCTTATAATATTCATTTATCTAGTGTGTTTGTTCTTCATTAGTTATATAAAGCTGTAATTGTGCTCTTTCATTCATCCACTCATTAATTTCTTCTGTATTTGTTGGGTCTATCTTATGTGCCCCGCACTGTCAAATTGCTTTACTAAATAGTAATGGTATTGAATGAGGTACAAGATGTGAAAATGTTTTGTAAATTGTGAAGTGATATTCAAATGCTGTTATCATCAGATTCTCTAATAGTTTTGAATGAAAGTACCTTTAGTTTAACTGCTTTGTATAAAATCTAAATTGAATCTGCCAAGAATTTTGTATGACATTTTTTTTAAGAATAGACAAAATTAGATTATTCAACAATGAAATATTTAATGCATTAGGCTTAAAAGAAAAAGAAACCAAATTTTGTCTTTTAGAGCTCATTGGATAGAACGTATTTCTGGAGAAGCCGGGGCTGTAGGAGGAGGGGAAGTTCATGTCCAGCTCATCCTTTGGCAGATTAGTGTTTTTAGCCACGTGGAACATGGGAGTGGGAGAGCATAGATGACTTGGTGCAAGTGGGTTGCCACTGTAGGGAAATTAAATCGAAGAATATGGTGGATTGCTTAAGAGTCATTAGCATTGTGTTTTGCGCACAGGACAGCATTTATTTCTAGCCTATTGGCCATGATTCTGCAGGAGTATACTTTGAATGTCTTTTAAGGTGTTTTCAAAGAAGGTATCATTTTAGCTGAGAGTCCCAGGAACAACTTTAAAGCTGAATGTTATGATTATGGGTAGAATTTGGTAAGAGTTTAAGATGCAGTTGGATAAAGCCACTTCCATAATGAGTGGATTTACTGGTCCTGGATGATGATTATAAATTTTGTCCTGTTGATTTAGCATACATTTCAACACTTTAAATATAGAAGCACCAATAAATATTTTTATCTAAAAGTTAGTTTTTTGAAAGTTTCATTTCACTTATTTTTTAAAAAATTTATTTGAGAGTGGGGAGGGGCAGTGGGAGAGGGAGAGAGAAAGACTATCAAGCAGACTGTGTGCTGAGCACGGAGCTGATCTCAAGACCCTGAGATCAGGACCTGAGTGGAAACCAAAAGTGAGACACTCAAGGACCGGGCCACCTAGGCATCCTGAAACAGTTTCATTTTAAAACAAAACTCATTGATTTGGGTTGATCTGGATATTTCAGTATGTTGTTTTGTACCAAAGCGGTGGTGCTAGTGGAAAGAACTTGTGCATGGTTCTCTGCTCTTGGTTCCCTCAGAAAGCAGCTGTGCGACCTTGGGCAAGTCTCCTCATCCATCTGAACTCTGTTTCCTCAATTGTAAAATGAAGGTCCTTTCCTGCTTTGAGAGTCCAACAGTGAAACGTCAGCTTAAAAAATGGAATGAGTTTTGAAAGGACTTTTCTTTAGTGTTCTCCATAGGTGTGTTGTAATGCAGATTATTTTACTAGAAAGGAAGATATTTTATATGTTTATTGGAGTGGTATCATTTTTTGGTTATTACTGAATGCTCACCCCTGATCTGTTCCATTTCCAATCCCAAGAATATTAAGACAGGAATTTTTTCTATCCAGATAATACCACTTTATAGTCAGGAACCAAGAAGGGCTTGAATGAGATGAGGTCCCTTGCTACAGGTGCCACCAAAGAGAAGGACTGCGCTCAGTTTGCGCTAGGGACTCCGATACTTAATGTCCTCGTAATTATTTATGTAGTAGAAGGAGGTAACCCTTTTAGTTACCTGGCTCTGTATTATGGAGCCAGTTTTCAGGAAGTTATAGAAATCAAATTAAAATAATGTTTGGATTCTTTATTGAAGGTTTTTTGTTTTTGTTTTTTTGCCCATTTTTAGTGATGAAATGAGTCTTGCTTTGAGTTCTGTGGCCATTTCACAAAATGTGTTCCTCTGGATATCTAAAGAAAAAAAAAAGAGCCCTGTAGGTTCAATAAGTTGAGGATTTGCTGGGATAAACAAGGTTGTACATATTTTGTATCTTTAATAGTTTAATAGTGATGTTTCAAGAGAAAGAATAGTTCGTAGAATTTTTCCCAAACTTACTTGACCAAAGAATTTTTTTTTTCTTTTTCTCTCTCCCCTGCACCCTCCCTCCCCCCGGCCCTCGCCGCCCTGGAATTTCTCTTGGTGTTCTTTCAAACATATTTTGGGAAAATATATTTAGATTCTAGTATCCCTTTCTCTGCAGTGGCAGACCCCATTGCTTCTGAGGACAGTCTTGGCCTTACCTGTAGGTGCTGAGGGCACTTGTGGGGATGCTTTTCTATTCAGCCGCACAAACTTAGTCAAGCTTTCTTAAGAAAATGTTAGTCTTGATTCCTCACTGCTACGTGATTAGGTTTTCTACTTACTATGCATTGGAAAATGACCCATGATTCAGTTCCAGTAATAGCTAGGGAGTCTAACCTTGAACTTGCTGCTATGGACTATTAACAACACCCAGTCTGAGAAAATAGTATAGTTATATAGTCCATCTGTCCATTTTTCTGGTTATCTAAATTTTATGCCTGTGCTTTTGGACATATAATGCCAGTATACCCTGGACTACATGTTTTGGTCCCTTTCTTTGGAAATATTTTTAAGTCTGTTTTATCTTTGCATTTTCCTTTTTAGGTTGAGAGGGACAATGAGAAATAGCCCTGTAAAACTCATTAGTGTATATATGAGGATACTTTTGGGGACTTTGTTTATTATACAGCAAGGTATCTTACAAAGACCCATGGGATAAATTCCAGATTTTTATCCCAAGAAAAACTATTCCTTCTGAAGCAACTTTTTTTCTTTTAAAAAATATTTATGGATCTTGCGAATATTAAAACTGATTGTGTCTCATTTGCTTTGCTTCCTAAAAGCTTTCCTGCTAAATTTGTGGCCCTTTTACAAATATGTAGACTTTGACTCTGGCTTCTTTTTATCTGAAGGCAGTAGAGTCTTGGAGTTAGGAATGTGGGTTCTGGAGTGTGATGGCTTGGGTCAGATCCGGGCTCCATCATGCAGTAGTCGTGTCGAAGTCAGGCACGCTGCTTAATCTGTGCGATCCTCAGTTTACTCGTCTGTGAAATGAAGTTAATGGTGCCCTCCTGGGTTTATTGTGAGGATTTCCTGAGAATGATAGATGTAAGCAACTGTTCTTGACACAGCCTGGATACCCCGTACTTTTTTCCACTTTCATATTCCTTTGGTTTCACTTCGTGTATTTTAAAAAATAATGGACTCCGTAGTATTTATAATAATTTATTGATTGTTATCCAAAAACTCATTGTCATCTAACTCATTGATTGTCTAAACTATTTCTTGGAGTATGGGCAAAGTAAGCATATGCAAGTGCTGGTTTTTAGCACATTGTGTTTTCCATAAAATACAGCTATTAAAAACAGTCACAATTGCTTTGCCGTAAGTATTCCTAAATCCCCAGAGATTTCGGAACTAGACATACACGAAAGTTTGCTTTTAGTTCCCCCAACTTTCAGTCTCTCCCCTTTCACCTCCAACACATAGCACTGAACAGATGTTCTGTATTCTTTGTATAGGTGTGACAGTGGTTTTCTTAAGACATTTCTGTTACAGCCTCTTAGGTTAAAAGTTTCACTATCGTTTGAAATCTGTCATAAGCCCAGGGAAGCACGTTCACTCTAGAACTATTGAGTAAATGAGTTTCCCAGTTTGAGAAGTTAGAGTTTTATGTGAGGTCAGGCCAGTTGAAGACATTTACAAAGAATTAGTTGTTTGTTATTGCTATGTGAGTTGCAAGAATGGAAAAAAAAGAAATTCTTTCTTCAATACTTCCTTCCAGGCTGAGTCATCACTAGAGAGTGGGAAGGGCAGCAGCAGCAGCAGAGAATCCAAACCCCAAAGCTGATACCACAAAGTAGCATTTCTCCAAGTTGGGGGCTCAGAGGGGAGCCATCATGAGCGATGTTACCGTTGTGAAAGAAGGCTGGGTTCAGAAGAGGGGTAAGTACTCACCAAAGCCGAAAGTAGTATGTTTGGTAAGTGTGCTAACGGTCACTGGTGTCCTGGAACTTGGTATTTGTTCCATTGCTGTTCACAAAGTCCAGTAAGAGAGAAATATTTAACTTATGTGTGAGGAATTTGCTTGTTATTTAGGGATTTTTTGTAATTCTTGATTTTGATAATTTATCATCAACGTTACGAAGACTTGGCCTCCTGGTATGTTGTGTTACAGAAATTTCTTGTTGTGTTTTTCCATGTCCACAGATTCTACAATCCAGAGAGATGTCTTTCAGATGATTTGATACCTAGAAAAGTGTCTAACTCATCAGCATTTAAAGACATGTAAATTTATATTAAGCAGGTCTGGGCGGTAGCAGGGGAGGGGCTTACAGGCTTAAAGGGAAAGAGTTCTCCCTCACACTCATGGTTTCACCCGTCCATGTTAGTTAGGTAAGGAGAGTCTGAAAGTAAAAGACCAAATGAAGAAAAGGTTTTGTGTTGTGTGTGTGTGTGTGTGTGTGTGTGTGTTTATGTCTCATTTCATATTTTTATTTTTCATGATCTAGTTTTAGTATTTCTTGTTCACTCCTACTTTAGGTAAATAATTCAAATGCACTATTATTCTTCTCTAATACTAACGGAAGAACTCTTCAACATAAAGCTTAGTTTATCCTCTGTGAGGTCACCTGCTAATGTGGTCAATATGTTTATCAAGAAATCTGGAGTGTAGACCAGTTGCCAGGCAACAAATGTGTATCCACGTGGCCAAATTGAGTAGCATGAGGACTGTTTTACTGTCAGGACTCTTTAAATTCCGTGTACTGGATCTATGTTCTGATTAAAAGTTGCCTTTTAAATATGTGATTGCAGTGTTCCTTGTGGGTCGTAGTTAATTCTTATGCTTGAAAACCTGTTGTCAGAAGTTAAATGGGATTATGTATGCCTGAGTTTTAAAAAATCAACCTTATTGAGTTATTATTTCCAGAACAATGAAATTCACCAATTTTACATGTACACTTTGATGAGTTTGCTGCCTTCATGCAGTAGTGTAACAAGCACTACAGGTATGACAGCAGACATGTCTGTCTCCCCAGAAGTGCCCTTATTCCCCGATGCAGTCAGTCCTCTTTCCTCAACCCTGACAACCACTGATGTGATACCACTGGAATCTTCCTTTTCTAATATCTCTTATCAATAGAGGCCTGCGGCCTTTTCTGTTTGGTGACTCTCACGTAGCGCAGTACTTCAAGGATTCATCGTGTTGTTGTGTATATCATCAGTTTGTTTCTTTATTGTTGGGTCACATTCCATAGTTGGGCCATAATACAATTTATCTCTTGACCAGCTGATGGGTAGTTGGGTTGTTTCTGGTTTCTGGCTGTTACGAATGAAACTGCTCTGAGCAAGGGAGTGTGTATCTTGGTGTGATGTATTTTCATTTTTTCTTGGGCAGTAACCTAGGAATGAGATTGTGGTCATGTGGTAAGTGTGTGTTTCACGATAAAAACTGTTTCAGCCAGTATTTTACTGTTGTTTCATTTATTGTATGTTCTATTATATAGTTTAGGAGGCATTTTCAGACTTCACTGCTGTGTCAAGGTATTTTTTCTTTATTTTTAACTTGCCAATTAACATTTATTCTATCTTTCTTTCTTTGGGATGGCAAATCAGGTAAACCTTTTGGAGTAATACTTTATTAAGCTCTAAAATCTGCTCTTGTAAGACCAGTGCGAGGATTAAGTAAGACAGTGGATGTGGATGTGTTTTGAGAGTTTTAACACCAGTGTAAACTATTGTGGTCACGGCATTTTGTCAGGGATTTAGGGTGGTTCTTGAGTTTGTTTAGCTAATTGTGTCTTGTCTGAACTACCATAAGAGAAGGTTGGTATATAGTGTGTGAGATACAGAAACAAGAAAAGATGGACAAAGGTTTTGTTGTGTTTTTCTTACATTGGTTAGCAGTACACAAAGGTATATAATGATAAGAAACAGTCTTTTCTACTCTCTACTTCTTCAGACTGGTTTCTCTTTTGGGATATAACCACTTTAGATCTTTTCTACTTTTAATTTTTTTGGTGATTATTATCTCAATTTTATGTATATTATGCTAAGCTTTATATTTGAGTAATCTTACATAATCGAGTATATATATATCACCGTTGTGAAAATAAAGAATTTAACTTGTAATACCTGTTCTCTTCCTTCCTTCCTGAAGGAGGGGAGAGGGCTTCATGGTTATACTTCCAACACTTGGCACTCTTAATTCTAGAAGATACTTAGGCATCATCTCTAAACTTGTCACTTTATGAGTTGAGAAAAATTAGTACCCCTCCCAATCTTCCCCCCGAATTCCTCATGGTCCCCTCCCAGGTTGTGTCAACTGTAACATTTATTTAATGTTGCCAAGGTTTGTAATAGTTTCATGTGTTGATTTGGAGCAACAGTAATCAATAGTGTGATAAGTACATACTACCTGCTGCTAACGAAAGTTGTGTGATGGGTATGGTGTGTTAAGAGCCGTAGGGAACAAATGTTGGTATTCCAGATCAGGTCGTACTTTAGTTTGGCTTCTAGTTGGGGCTATACCTGTTTTTCCTGGATTTTCCAGTTGCCTTGTTGCCCCCCGCCCCCACCATTGGTTAAAGAGAGTCTGTCTTCTTCATCATACCACTTGGGTATCCAGTTTTTTAATCGTAGTATTTGTTGAAATTTTATTGGGAACTGACTTTCTTCTGGGTATGATGCTTGCTAATAGCATGTTATTTAATTTCATTCTTGGACATGTTCTCTGCTTTCTTAGACCTCGTGTCTTTCCCATTTGTTTTGGATTTATTTTACCATGTTCTAGAAGGTTTTTTTTTTTTAATTTCCTGGAGTACTTTTTTAAGAAAGAATATGTGGAGGGTGCTTGTCAACAGAGTATTCAAAAATGTGCTTTTCACTTTGACACCCAGGACATACCTTAGCTGGGTATAGAATTTAGTTGTGCAGTAGTTTTCCTTCGGAATTTTGAAGGTTGCGTTACATTACCTTTTGGTAACCAGTTTCATTGATAAGAGGCTTAATGCTAATAGCAGTAATTTCTTTCTAGGTAACCTGTTTTTGTTCTCTGGAAGCTTGTTGTGGCCGTGCCTTTTTGTCTTTGACATGAAATTTAAGGAGGATGAGATGTAGTTCTTTTAACTCTTCCTGTAAAGCATTTGGTGCACCTTTTGGATATGTGGGCATATGTCTTCAGTTCTAGGGAATCTTCTGTATTTCTTTCATTATTTCTTCCCTTCTGTGTTCTCTGTATTCCTTTACGGCCTGCCCCCCCCGCCCCAGAGCATCTATTATCAATGTTCAGGTTTTACGATTTTCCTTTCACGTCCATGTCTTTGTTTTCCTGCCTTGTTCTGGAAGATTTCCTTGACTTTTTCTTTGAACCCTTTATTGAGTTAATCTATTTAAGCTATTACTTTATATTTCTGGGAATTCTTTATAGTTCATAGCCAGCTCTTATTTTACAGATGTAATACAATCTTTAATTTTAGAACACTAATTAGACTTTATTTTTAACTTTTTTCTCCTGTCTAACTTTTTCAGTTTGTTTATTTTGGTTCTTTTTTTGGTGGTGTTAGTATTCCTTAGGTATCTGGTGGTTCCTGTGACTGTGTTTATACTTGGGAATGAAAGACTGAAATTGCCAGTCATGTCCTCTGTTTGTATTATTTATGTATTTTCCCTATACATAAGACAAGTTAGAGTCACTGAACGAAGATTTGTGATGGCAGTTTTAACTGGACTCCTGAAAGTATTAGTTGAAATATTAGGGGAAACTAAACTGGGCATTTTTCTTTCCACCATTCTTAATTTATTCCTTTAGAGATTTTCAGTATGATTTTAATAATAACTTTGTGTTTTAGTCAAGCAAATTTCATTAGGTAGTCTGATGTTGTTTGGCTGTATTTTTGTTCAAAGAATTTCTTCTAAAAGAGTGTTATTATTTGTTGCCTGTTTACCCTGAGCAGATAGATTTTGATCGCCTGAACCTGGGTGTACTTGTTTGAAAATAAATACGATAACATCTGCCTTCTTTACCTCACAGTATGGTGGTAGGCATTATGAGCTAATATGTGTGGAGTGTTTAAACTATTAATAAAAGTACTAATAGAAAAGTTATATCATCCCTTACCTTGAATATCAGTCCTTTTCCTCAAACTTGTAGTTATGAATCAGTTCTTGTTAGCTCCTGTCCAGAGAGAATCTCATTTTATTTGTACTTTCAATGTAAATAAGTCATTGTTTAGTAAATATCCTGGAAAGGAAAAAAAATAGATTTAAAGATAATTAATGGTACTGTGTTGGACAAATGCTTTCCTAACTTTGGTGATTGGTGATATATTGATACTGAAACCTTTTTGTTGTTGTTGTTCTATACTTTTCTGGAGCAATTACAAAATGGTAAGTATTAATTGGGATAACACCTGGACATGGGATTGTTGGTGTTGGAGATGACAGTAAAGAAAACATTATGTATAGCACACACAGACTCCAGGGCCACCTGCATTTTCCTCTTTTGTGTGGGAGAGAACCTCATAGTTCAGTTGTACATCAGCGCAGGAGATACCTGCATGTGTATTAAACGCTTGTTAGATCGATGGTCTCCTTCACAGACCAGCCAGTTGGTACTGCAGATCTCTAAAGTTAATGTCAAAAGTTTTGCTCTCCTAGTTTTTATCCCATTACAGCCAGTGGTGATATTTGCTGTGAAGAAACTTACTGCATTAATAAAGTGGGAAATTTAACCAGCTTAAAAGGTCTAAATTATAGAATTGAGTAGACTGCAATCCTATTAACCAGGGCTGATTGTAATTTATAAAATTCTATTCGCTTAATAGTACTGTTTCTTAAAAAGGTAAGTCTCATAAATGTGGCGAGCCAGTTTTTTGATAACAGGTTAAAATCTAATGTATTGTTAGTCAACTCATAACCTTACTGTTTTGAAATTGGTAACAAAT